GGTCTCGAAACCTGCAGGAAATCAGTCTTTGTTACACGTGAAATAAAGCAGTCTATGGGGAAAATAACCATAAATGTTCATTATTTGTACAGGAAAATCAATTTGTAGGCCAATTGACCAAATAAAGTAATACAATTTGCTGGGAAATCCCCCAGGTGTGGCAGGCAAATCGCAGAGCAGGGCTGGAGGCTGAGCTTTGTGTGGGGAACGTGGGGTGGGACGTGGGACTGAGATTTGGGTGGGAACGTGGGGTGGGAGGGATGTGGGACTGAGATTTGTGTGGGGAACGTGGGGTGGGAGGGATGTGGGACTGAGATTTGTGTGGGGAACGTGGGGTGGGAGGGATGTGGGACTGAGATTTGTGTGGGGAACGTGGGGTGGGAGGGATGTGGGACTGAGATTTGTGTGGGGAACGTGGGGTGGGAGGGACGTGGGACTGAGATTTGGGTGGGGAACGTGGGGTGGGAGGGACGTGGGACTGAGATTTGGGTGGGAATGTGAGTGGGAGGGACGTGGGACTGAGATTTGGGTGGGGTGAACAAATCTGGGCACCCCGACCCCGATAATCCTGCCCTGGCCCCGGGGCCCTCATCAGCCCCGGGAGGCAGAGGAGGGCTCTTCATCCCTGCTGGGGCTGGGGAAGAGCTGTGCCCCGGGCACTGACAGGGACACCAGGGCTGGCCCAGAGCAGGAGGTGCCCCTCTGCCGGCTCTCTGCACTAATCCCAGCTGAGGGGATGGGGGGTCCCCTCCTGTCCCTGATTAAACCCATCCCGCCGCGTTTCTTCTTGGGAAAAGCAAAGAAAACCACCCCAGGCTCCCTGAACCTCCCCCTTTCCCGTTCCCCTCTCTTTATTATCAATAAAAAAAGAGAGAAAATGCTGTCTGGGCTCGAGGATTTCCTTCACACATGGAAGAGATTCCGAGTTCTCCCAAAGCTCCCCCAGCGTTCCCTGTCTGCTCCCTGTGTTTCCCAGCCCTACCTGGGAGCAGGGAATGCACAGGCTGCTTTCTCCTGCAGGTTTTTTAATCCAGTAGTAATAATTTTTGAGGGTTGAATCACAGGCACGTGAGCAATCTCGCAAAGAGCTTTGATATTTTCATCTTTGTGTGGTGAACAAATCTGGGCACCCCGACCCCCGATAATCCTGCCCTGGCCCCGGGGCCCTCATCAGCCCCGGGAGGCAGAGGAGGGCTCTTCATCCCTGCTGGGGCTGGGGAAGAGCTGTGCCCCGGGCACTGACAGGGACACCAGGGCTGGCCCAGAGCAGGAGGTGCCCCTCTGCCGGCTCTCTGCACTAATCCCAGCTGAGGGGATGGGGGGTCCCCTCCTGTCCCTGATTAAACCCATCCCGCCGCGTTTCTTCTTGGGAAAAGCAAAGAAAACCACCCCGGGCTCCCTGAACCTCCCCCTTTCCCGTTCCCCTCTCTTTATTATCAATAAAAAAAGAGAGAAAATGCTGTCTGGGCTCGAGGATTTCCTTCGCACATGGAAGAGATTCCGAGTTCTCCCAAAGCTCCCCCAGCATTCCCTGTCTGCTCCCTGTGTTTCCCAGCCCTACCTGGGAGCAGGGAATGCACAGGCTGCTTTCTCCTGCAGGTTTTTTAATCCAGTAGTAATAATTTTTGAGGGTTGAATCACAGGCACGTGAGCAATCTCGCAAAGAGCTTTGATATTTTCATCTTGGGAGCCAATTCTTGGGGCATTTACGTTTGGGTGCCTTTTTTGTGTCCCCAGGGGCTGCACCTGCTCCTCCTGGGATCAGTTCCCACTGGGATCAGCTCTCCAGGCTTCCTCTGCCCTGACACAACCTTTGCTTTCCTCTGCATCATTATTATTATTATTATTATTTTGTTCCGTGGAGCTCTGTGTGCCTGGCAGCTCTCTGGGTCTTTCTGTGGTTGGGATCAATTAAATTCTCACCAGGGGCTGTCCTGGCCAGGGCCCCTTTCCTTTTCCCCTTTCCTTTTCCCCTTTCCTTTTCCCCTTTCCTTTCCTTTCCTTTCCTTCCCTTCCCTCTTGTGCATCTCTGGGTTTTGGGGTTCTTGCCTGGCTGGGATTTGAAGCAGGGTTTGGGTTTTTGACTCCTCTGACCCCACACAGAGCAGGATTTCCCCAGAAGGGAACAACTCCCCCAGGCTTTCCCACCTTCCTGGAGCTCCTTTCCTCTCCTGGCAGGAGGATCAGGCTCCGGACTGCTCCCCTGCCAGAGCCTGCTGCTGCTCCCAAGTTCTTCCTTGTTTTTTGGTTGATTTTGGGTTTTGTTTTGTTTGGGGTTTTTTTCCTTTTTTTTTTTCTTTGTTTTTTTTTTTTTTTTGTTTTTTTTTTTTGGGTTTTTTGTTTTGTTTTGGGTTTTATTGTGGTTTTTTGGTTTTTTGTTTTGTTTTTGTGGGGGTTATTTGTTTTGTTTTGGGGTTTTTGGTGGTTTTATTGGTTTTCTTTTTGGTTTGTTTTTTTTTTTTTTTTTTTTCTTGTTGGGTTTTTGGGTTTTTTTTTTTTTTTTTTTTTTTTTTTGTTTTTTGGTTTTTTTTTTTTTTGTTTCTTTTTCGTTTTGTTCAATTGCAGCTGCATCTCTCAGGTAGCCTTCAATAATCTGCTGCTACCATCTGATTTTTTTCCCTAGGGAAAAAGAAATCCTCCTCCCCGTGATTTTTTTTTTCCCTTTTTTTCAACAAAGCCACTCCCCACCCTGACAATACTTCAGAACCAACAAAAGCAAGGATGGTGTCAGGAGACCCTGGCAGGGTGGGGCTTTCCTAGGGAAAAAGAAATCCTCCTGCCCGTGATTTTTTTTTTTTTTCCTTTTTTTCAACAAAGCCACTCCCCACCCTGACAATACTTCAGAACCAACAAAAGCAAGGATGGTGTCAGGAGACCCTGGCAGGGTGGGGCGGGCAGAAAGAAGTGGAGCAAAACGTGGATTTGTGCCTCCAGCTCCAGCTGTGCCTCCTCAGCTGCAAGCAGAACCCCCAAAATTCACCTTGGAGGAGCTGAGGGGAGGGCACCCCCGCGATGAGGCTGCTCTCCGTGCCCTCAGCACTCCGGGGGCTCTGCGGAGCCTTGGTTTCCTTAATTAAAGAGCAAAAGGGATGCTCTGCTCCCCATCCCAGGGCTGGGAGAGGAGGATTTCATCTCCCTGAGCTGGGAAACACCTCTGGCTGCTGCCGGGCGTTGCTGGGGCTCCTGGAGGATTTATTCCACACCCACACCTGCCCTGGCTGCTGCCCCAGGTGTGTCTGCGGAGCTGCTCCTCCCTCGGGCTGTTCTGCAGGATAATTTTGGTTTTTTGGAGCAGGTTCTGGCTGCCTTTGTGCTTCATTCGAAAGTGATGATGTGTGTGTGCTGGTGGATTCCTCTAAACAGATTAGGGGAGAGCAATTGATTCCAGGCTGGCTGCAGATGAGTATAAAAAGGCAAAAATTGATTGGCTCAGTCTGTTTTAATTTTCTGGGGACGTAGTGAATAAATAAATAAAGAAATAAATGAATAAAGCACCCTCCAAACCTGAGGGTAAAAACACAAAGCAAACAGGACTTGGAAAAATTGTTTTAAGGCTGAAATTCTGGGATTTCCAAGGAGCAGCCCTGCTGCTTCTCCCCTTTTTTTTTGGCTGAGTTTGGTGCCTTTGGGCAGAGGCTGCCCCTGGGGCTCATCCCCTGTGTGCCCAGAGAGGGGCAGGACTGGAAAAGCACCTCGGGCACAAAAAGCGTCACGGGGCAAGGGATGCACAGCTCATAAATTTCGTGATTTTCCCAATTTTTGCCATTTTTGGCCCACGGCTCGCCTCTCCCCTGCTGCTCCTGGCTGCTCGGGGGGGTGCCCCTGCTGGGGTGATCCTTCCAGATGGCTTTAGCTCATTATCACGGCAATTAGAGTGCCCTTAACCACCACCACTGCGATTTACCGACAGAGGTAAACAAGGTTTTGGTTGGTATTTGTGGAAAGTTCTTAATTTGGTTAATTAAAAAAACCTGGGCTCTTCTCTCAGCCTTCCTCCCCTGCAGAGAGCCTGCCCGGCTTTCCCAGGACTCCTCCTTTTGCCAGGCTGGTTTGGAAAGCTGCAATCAGGTTTTTTTAAATTTTTTATTTTTTCTTAATTTTTTTTGTTTGTTTGTTTTGTTTTGTTTTGGGGTTTTTTTGTGGTTTTTGTTTTGTTTTTTTTTTTTTTTTTTTTGGGGTTTTTTGGGTTTTTTTTTTGTTTTTTTTTGGGTTTTTTTTTTTTTTTTGTGGGTTTTTTTTGTTGTTGTTTTGTTTTTGTGTTTGGTTTTTTTTTTATGGGTTTTTTTTTGGGGGGGGAATTTTTTTGTTTTTCTTTGGTTTTTTTGGGTTTCTTTTTTGCAGAGCAGCTGTTACTCCTGAGGTGTTCTGGCATTTTCTGGCCCTGTTTCACACCTGTCTCCCTGCCCAGAGGATGGGCACACAGCTGTGGCCTCCCTTGCCCTCGCTGGGGTCCCAATTCCATGATTTTATTGCAGATTCTGAGGGGCAGTGCTGCCTCCCTGCTTTCCCTGCTGCTGCCACTGTCCCTTTCCAGCCCTGGGCCGTCGCTTCCCAAAGCTTTAATTCCGTGGTGATGTGGGAATGTTCGGTGGGAGATGCTCTGCAGGCAGAGTTTGGTGCCTGGTGGTGCTGCCTCCTCCCTTCCCTCTCGGTGAGGATGAGGTGCAGGCTGGGGATGAAGGGCTGGGAGTGCAGGGCTTGCTCAGAACTGGAAAAACCACAAAGAGAAGTGCCCGTGCTGGGAAATCCTTTTGCAGAGCGACCAAAGTGTGAGCCGGGTGTGACAGCTGTGGCTGGTCAAAAAGAGCTTTTTGACAGCGAGTTTTCTGTTTGGTGTTTGTGGAAATAACTGTTTGGGGCGATTCCTCACCAAATCCTTGTTGTGTTCTCTTTCCCTGTCCCATGCCAGCGAGTTTTCTGTTTGGTGTTTGTGGAAATAACTGTTTGGGGCGATTCCTCACCAAATCCTTGTTGTGTTCTCTTTCCCTGTCCCGTGCCAGAACCGGGGCCGCCTGGCAGAGAAGAGGAGCATCCCGCTGCCCCCCAGCAGGCTCCCCAAAAAAGAGCTGGGCTCCACCTTCCCCCACAGCGAGGACAGCCAGGAGAGCGACCAGAGCAATGGGCAGCAGCCCGAGGTGAAGCAGGAGGAGGACCTGCACATCAGTATCATGAAAAGAAGGTACCTGCAGGCAGTGCTGAGCCGGGGGGTCACCCCGGGGGCTGCAGTCCCACTGCAGGGGGCACGGGGCAGCGCTCAGAGGGGTTTTGCACTCGCTCCTGCTTTTGGGGTGCAGCTGGCACTCGGGGTTTGCAGGTTGGCACTCGGGTGCCACTCGCTGGCCAGGGCTCTGTGGCTTTGTTTGGCCAAGGGGTTGCACGACCAAGGGGACATCAGGAGCAGTGTCACCCCCTCCTGCTGGCCTGGGGGGGCTCTGGGGACAGCAGGAGCAACACAAAGGTGCCAGAGCCCAGACAGGATAGCTGGGCTGAAAAGGGCAGGAATTTGGGGCTGGAAAAGGCAGGAATTTGGGGCTGAAAGAAGCAGGAATTTGGGGCTGAAAGAGGCAGGAATAGGGGCTGGAGGAGGCAGGAGCTGGGGCTGGGGGCTCCCCAGGGTGGAGCAGCGTTTCAGGGGCAGGAGATGAGCACTCAGCCCTGCCTCTGACCTCTCTTTTTTGTCTGTTTGCTTGCTCCAGGATTCACACCCACTGGGATCTGAACATCTCCTTCCGAGAGACCTCTTGCAGGTACCATTTTTGGGCACCTCTCTGCGTGGTGGGCTGAGAGTTTCTGATTTGTTACTGGGTGCTGATGGATGTAAATGGACATTTCTGTCAGTTCTGGGGTTTTTTTTTTCTTCCTCCCTTTGTTCCTCATCCTCCCCTTGCCACACACCCTCTCTTTTGTTTTTATTTTGGGGGAAGCTGTGGGGTGAGCAGTCCCTTTTACCCTGGAAGAGAGAATTGATGAGACTTCTAAAGAAAGCCCAATTTTGCTGTGTTTACTCTGATCCCAAGAAGGTGGAAATGCATAAATTGAAGATCTCCAGTTGCAAACTGAACATTCCTCTGTGACCTGGGTGTGGTTCCTTATCTTCATGTGCTGCCAGCAGTCACAAACTCTTCTTTAAAAATCCAGAAATTTGTACTAAAAACTGGGATTTTTAAAGGTCTCTTTTACTCTGGATTTCCAGATCAGGGTGCAGCCCTTGAGTTGTGGAAAACTGCTCGGTTTTTGGAATGAGAACAATAAATCTGAGCAGCTGGGGAACTTCTCAGGGAGGAGAAAACAGAGCAGGAGAGGGCAGGGTGGGGGTCTGGGGTGCTCCCTCCACTCCTGGGTGAAATCAGGGTCTGCTGCCAAAGAGCAGCCCAGGGAGAAACTGGAGTTTTGGTTGTTCTGTGTGAGCCTGTTCAGTTAGATGGAAAAAAGGGAAATGATCACCACAACTGGAGCAATGTCCACGTCTTTAACTGATCACTGGAAAGCAAATTAAACCTTGGCCGTGGGAATGAAGGTGGGAAATCCACGTGGGCTCATCCTCCAACAGGAGCAGTGAGGGCAGAGGAATCCTCTGGTGTTTAACTGAGCACAGACTGTGGCTCTGAAGCACAAACCCCCGCAATTCCGAAATTTTCCAGCGTTCAGAGCACAAACCCCACCCCACAGTGAGCACAAGGAGCCAGTGCAGCAGCTCAGCACCCATAAAAACAGCTTTTTGCAAGGCAGCCCTTAGAATGAAAACCCTGCTTAGCTGCTCCAAGCTGTTGGGACTCTGGAATACAAAAGGATGGATTCCTTCCAGGCAGAGCCTTTCATGCTAAATTTCAGCCCAGAGCAGAGTTTTATGGCTGTTATAAACTCCTAAAAGGCAGAGGTTTGGGATGGAAGTGCTGACAGTGCCTTAATTAATGGCCCTGTGAGCAATGATTCTGCACAATGGCAGCTGAGGGTGCCAACACCTTTGGAAATTAGAATCCCTGTCTTAAAAAAATAATTCTGAGCTTGCAGTGCGTGGAATAAAATAATGGTCTGAGTTTTATGTCAAATGCATTTCCTGGGCTTCCTCAGCTTGACTGTTCCCTTCAGTTTAGCTCTGTCCTGGAAGAAAGCTCAGTAATTCCCCTGGGGAACAGAAGTTTTGCTTTTCCTGAGGAGTCCAGCTGTCAAAAGCTGCCCATCCAGCCCATTTAGAAGGGGAAAAAAATGCTTATACTGTGTGCCAGAGGAAGGATTTGGGGTTTTCTGTATTTGAGCGGCCCCAAATTGCCAGCACACAGCCCTGTAAAGCAGATTTCAGTTCCAGGTGTGTTATCTGAGAGCTGCCCTGCTGCTGTGCAGGTTGGTGGCTGAGGTGCAGCTGTAATGGGGAATGGAACAGGGCAGGCAGGAGGAAAAAGGACATAAATCAGGCTGAGGGGAAGGAGGAGGTGAAAAGCACCTGGGAAACGAGATGGGAGAAGCAAAGGAAATGGGAAATGCAGTGATTTAGCTCCTGGCTTTGGAAAGGAGAGCAGGAGAGGATTGAAAAGCAGCTGTTGGTGGAGGTGTCAAGGCTGCTCCTGACTCAGCAGAGCTCTGCTGGGTGACACAGGTGACATTGTCACAGCTCTGCCCTGCCCTCCAGCACTGACAGAGCCTGCCTCTGCAGCTGCCTGCTTTTAGGGTTTGTTTTTTTTCCCTAGTAAACTTTTCCTTTCTAATATCTGAGACCTGAAAGGGAGACTGAAAGGTCAGGGGAATTTACAGCAGCGGGAGGCTGAAGGTGAGAGCCCTGGGCAGGTGAGAGCCTGGGTAGGTGAGCCCTGGGCAGGTGAGAGCCCCGGGCAGGTGAACCTTGGGCAGGTGAACCTTGGGCAGGTGAGCCCTGGGTAGGTGAGCCCTGGGCAGGTGAACCCTGGGCAGGTGAACCTTGGGCAGGTGAGCCCTGGGTAGGTGAGAGCCTGGGCAGGTGAGAACCCTGGGTAGTTGAACTCTGGGCAGGTTGAGAGCCCTGGGTAGGTGAGCCCTGGGCAGGTGAGAGCCTGGGCAGGTGAGCCCTGGGCAGGTGAGCCCTGCAGCTCCAGCAGGGAGCCCAGGCAGGGCAGAGGCAGCAGTGTCCCCAAACAGGGACCTGCCTGTCCCTGCCTGTCCCCTCTGGCACTCCCTGGCTGCTCCCCAGCTGGGAAACCCGGAGCTGAGCTGAACAATTTGAGTTTTGCCCATGAGAAGTCGTCAGGGAAGAAGAGAATGGGGGGATCCCAGCTGTTCCCACAACTCTGGGGGACAGTTTGGTTCTTGACTCTGTGGAAGACTTTAATGAGACACTTTAATGATGCCAGCCGTGGCAGGAAAAGGAAAAGGACATTTCTCTAATGTCAGGCTGAATCCAGCCCATCCAGCTCGTTCCTGCCCTGGCTTTGGGAATTGGCTGCTCAGGGAAATCCTTCAATCCTCGTCCTGGCTTTTTAGGGATCAGGCACAACAGAGGTACCTGAGTGGCTTTTCCCTTTCCTACAGGGATAAGGCCAAACCAGGGGAAAATTTGGAGTGATGAAAAAAGTATGACTTAATCTGAATTAATTATGTCATCATGATTTCATTAGCAGCACTTTCTGCTCTTGCACTCATTGCCAGGAAGATTTATCTGGCTGCAGGGATGGGGTAGGGAAAGGAGACATTTATGGACTAGCAGAGCTTCAGGTGCTAAAGGGGAACGGGGGCTGATAAACCAGCTTTAACTTGCATTTAAAGCTAAAATTGCATTTCACATAAAGGTGAGAAGAGCTGTAGATTCCTACAAGAAAAGGGGAAATTTATTTAGAGTAGTTCTGGCCGTGTTTATCCCCAGTGTGCTGAAATCTTTGGTGCATGGGAGGGGGTAATGCACCTTTTGTAGGGTATCCTAAAGGATTTGGGATAACCTGAGCATCTGAAGGCCTGTGTGTATTGTTGAGTCACAGCCAGGGAAGAATTCCTGATACCTTCCAGCTCATGTAATCCTCAAAACAAAAGCCAATCCACAAAAAAGAACCAGCCTGCTTTTGGGTCCAGCCTTGCAGGGCTGCAGCTGGAGATTTTCTTTGTGTGCTCGCTCCTCGCAGCCCGCTGTGGGGTTGGGGTGGTTTGGGGTGTCCTGGACACACCTGGGCGGTGTTGAGGGACTCACACCTGTGGATCCTTCCTGCCCCAGCACCAATGAAACTGCTGAGATTTAATATTCCATTTAATATTCCATCAGCTGCCCTTGGTGAGTGGAGAGAAGGAGGGATTTGGGGTGCTCAGAGATCCCTCAGCCCCTCACATCCCCGTCCCTGGCTGGGCAAAAACCTCTTGGTGTGTCCCTGGCAAGTGCCACCACCCTTCAGGGACCCCTCTGCTCCCCGTCTCTCAGGGTGCTGTAATTCCAGCTTTTTCTTTTCTTTATGAGCTTGCAGAGAGCTGAATGACAAAGCAGGCTTACAGTAAAAGCATCTTCATACTTATTTCCACCTTATTTTGGAGTTGCCAGCCCTACTGATCATTTTTATGAACTGTCATGAGCATTAATGAAATTTTATGGGCGTTTTGCTGGGGACGTTGCAGGATGATGAATTTGTTTTTCCAGGCTCGGTCTGCAGGGAGATTGAGGGCTGTGCTGCCCCTGGGTAGGGTTGGCATTTCCAGGCCTCTCTGCTCATTCCAGTTGGGAAAAGTTGTTTATCCCTCCCTCCTCTTTTCCCCTGCCCTGGTGCTGTGTCTGTGGTGACGTCTCAGGAGGATCCCTGGCAGGCAGGGCTGGGGTGCTGCTGAATTCTTGGCTGTGGAATCCATGGCTGAAAGGACACAGAGTGACCCCGAGGGTTCTGTACCAGTGGTGAAGCTTTAAAAGTTACCCAAAAGGCTGAGCAATAAAAATAGAAATGCAGTATCATATGTGGTAGTAACAACATATAATACAAATGTGTAATAATATAATGTATAACAATGCAGAATGTACAATATAATACATGAAACATAATCTACATATATATAATATACATATAAATATATTATATACATATAAAATATATAAAAATATAAAAATATATAATTTATAATATATTATTTATAATATATAATATTATATATTATAAATAATATACATATACATAATACAATACATAATATAATACAATATAATACAATACATATATACAATAATACAATAAATAATATAATTTACTACATAATAGTACAATACATAATACATATATCAATAAAATACATAATACAGTATAATAATACATAATAATACAATATAATAGATAATTATATACAATGTGATATAAATATAAAATATTTTTATATAATAAATGTATCAAAATATAATTTTACAAATAAAAGTAATAAAAAGAGGTGGCCTTTTGGTGGCTTTCCCTGAGCTGGGTTCTGTCCAGAGCACAAAACCCCCATGGGGAACCTTGCTGCTGTGGCAGGGGGATTTCCAGGGGCTGCCTTGGCTGGCTGTGACAGAGAGGTGACAGAGAGGGGACAGCCCTGCAGGGGAGGGGACAGTGCTGGCAGGTGAGGGGACAGTGCTGGCAGGTGAGGGGACAGCAGTGCAGGAGAGGTGACACAGTGCAGGAGAGGTGACACAGTGCAGGAGAGGGGACAGTGCTGGCAGGAGAGGGGACAGTGCTGGCAGGAGAGGGGACAGCCCTGCAGGAGAGGGGACAGTGCTGGCAGGAGAGGGGACAGCCCTGCAGGAGAGGGGACAGTGCTGGCAGGAGAGGGGACAGCAGTAGAG